AAGTACTACAGCATACAATGCAGACTTCGAAACTCACATATACATAAGGGTGAGTGATATAGTCTGAGAACCAAGCCTTATCTTCTGCTTTGAAACCTTCTGGGTCCAGCTGGATATCTGGAGCGTACGGGAAAAACTTCCATCGCTTTCCTGGATCCCTCGAATCACCGTACACGACATTCAGTTTGTCTAGACAAATTCCTGTTGACGAAATTCCGCAGGTAAAAGAAAGTCATTCAACTAAAATAAAAAAATAAGAATGTTCACGGCATTGAATATGGAAAAAGGAACTGAATAAAAAAAAGATCATCGTCATGCAACTCTGGAACATCAGACTGAAAGAACGCTCTTTGCACATTCTTTGTATCTGTGTAAGCAACGATTCCAGTAATCGTCTTTGGTAATTTTTGAGATTGAAAACAGAATTTCGACAAACCCATTTCAGCGTCCTCAAAGCCTCCACTGTCCTGTCGACAAATGTTTGGATTTGACAAGCCTTTGAGAACGAACTTTTCCAAGGCAGCTTTGCTCAAGATGTAGCCTGGTTCAATTGATGAAGATACAAAGTTCATCAATAATCAGAGGCTCTGAATTTCCATAATTATCACAAAAAAAGTAGCCAAGTGGAGAATCCTATAAAGTAAAAGTACAGTACTTTTTCCGCTGAGCTGACCTTCTTGAGTCTGAATAATTTCTTTAGTACCAACCAGGGAAAAAATAAAAGCACCGCAACTCTTCTATTCAACTCAATCAATATTAAAAATATCAAAAATTCAAATCCATCAAGAAATCTCTGCAGCAGATCAGCCTACATTTTTAGAAATTTAAACACAAAGATTCATCTTCTGTGATCTCAAGAAGCCTGCTGTCTACAAGGCTTGTAATTTAAAATGAATCTATAGGCCTACAGCCCTTGATTTATTTTTGTTTCACCTGCAATTGAATGTAAAACCCATCTAGATTCACGAGATAATCAAAACATAATAAACAATAAAAGTGTTAATCTCATTTTTGGCAGAATCTGGAAATTTCATGCCATTTTATTATCTGGGTCAAATTATGCTCATGCTGACCTTCCCTAGACATCGCGTTTCTCCTGAAAAATTTAAGGTATATACAGTGTGTAAAAAACAAAAGCTTTCTGCATTACCTGGGCCTCCGGCCATGTAGCCACGCTTGGTGAACTTATTGAACTGACAGCCCCACCAAGTCGGAACATTTGGATCTTCATCTTTCAG